GACAAGTCGCTTGGAGGACACCACCCCGGCAATGCGGTTCCACTCCTTCCCATTTTTTCTTTTCTCCTCATCCTGCTCCTCCCTCCTTCAATCCCTGCCCTCTCCTCATTCGCTCCCTCGTCCCTCCCTCGTCCCCGTTACCTCCTACCTCTTTTTTCTCCTCTTTTCTCCTCGTCCCTGTCTCAATATCCTTGCTATCCTCGTCCAGTTGTTCGACCAATTGTGGCTCGATGTGGTGTTCGGTTTGCGCGTATGCTTCCGCGCTGAGATTGCTCGTTTTGTTAATGCGGTTGATATTCGGTCGATTTCTCCCTCCTTCTTGCTTCACAGCGAAGGACGTGGTGTCTGGGTCCTGGGCAGTCTTCTGTCTCTTTCCGCAGCCGTATCCTCTCGGGTTGGAGTGGCGCCTGGGGCATGCGTGGCCGCCCTCCACCTTCGACTTGGTCGACTACCCGCATGAGCGGCTCGGTGTCCCCTGTTTGGCATCGTGAGTGCTCTGGCGCAGCGGTCTCAAGGCGAGGGCGGGCATTCCAGCGGTGCGACGGCCTGGGTAGGGAAACGATTTTCTGGAGGTGCGTCGAGGGCGCAGTCTTGGAGGCCACCTCTGGCTATTCCCGAGTACGGAAAGCGCCTCGATTTACAGCGTCCGTCATCGCATCGTTGGAGGTGGCAGTGGGCGACGACGACCTGCAGTTCGGCCTGCGAGTTTTCGTCTGGGTAGGGTTTGTCAAGGTCTACGGCTGCCTCCGCTGGGGCGACATCCAACGCCTACGGCCGACAGACGTGGAGTTGCGGGAGTCTGGCTTCATGGGCGTACTGTGCCGGGCCAAGACCACGGGCGCGGGGAAAAAGGTGAACCCCTCCCGGCTTACATTCCGCACGAGGCGTGGATCGTCAATGTTGGTTGGTGCTTAGGGCTCTGGCAGAGGCCTCACGCGCCATCGCAATGCCGCCGGAGCGGGTCGAGGCCGTCCTGGCTAGAGCCGGGTTGGACCTGACGGCGCTGATGGACAGGGGCGAGGTGCCGAAGGAGACCCCTGTGTAACTGCCTGTCTGGGGCACCGTCACGGTCCCCGTCTTCGCGGTTGTGGTGCCAGACGTGCCCGAGCTGTTGCAGGTCCACGAGAGGAGTTTCGGGTTGCCCGTGGCCGCCCTGCTTAACCAGGTGGCGATCTCGCGGACAGCAGTGGTGTGGCAGTCGGCAGTTGTGCGGTCGACGAAGGCCGCGGAGGCCGAGGGCGAGGCGGAAGGCCGGCAGGTCCCGAAGTTGCTGAAGAGCGAGGGCCACCAAGGCATGCAGACGTGTTTTCGAGGCGAAGGAATGGAAAATCTGTGAGGACGCAGATCCAGAGAAGAGGCTGGACGAAGTCGAGGAGCGTGGGCTCTGGGCGGAAGTGCTGAACGAGGTCATCAATGCAGACCAGCACGACCAGGACTCGCTGTTTACAGTGTAGGGCTCCAAGGGGAACCTACAGGCCCAGAGATCAGATAAGGAGGTGCCAGTGCAGACGGGCACGGAGGAGTTGCGGGCAAGGACCGCCCTGCTCAGGACTGCGTGGTGCTTCGTGGCTTTTGCGCAGCCCAACCGGCCGCATTTGTATGGGCTGGCTCCCCAGCTCTTCCGGGATTACCTGGCGTGCCCTCTCGGCGAGCGCGTGCGCGGCCTGTCGGCACAGAGCGACAAAGGTGCAGTCATTGCGACGCCGAGCTGGAGGCTGGTGGTCGCGTACGAGCACAGTCTCCTGAAGGAAGCCATCCGCCTCATCATGCGCAGCGAGGTCGAGACGTTCGACACGGCCCTTCGAAAGGCATGGAAAGATTCCACTGTTAAAGACGACGCTTCACGACGCCGGTTACGATGGATTAGGGCATGGGGGCCGCTAGGCCCGCTGTTCTGCCAGGGGGCCCCTCGATAAAGATGCCCCGTCTGGAGGGCGACAAGGGGAAAGGCAAGGGCAAGCGCAAGCAGGCAGTTTAACCTCGGGTCTCCAGAAGGAGCAGGGGGTTCGTAGCCCGCACCCCGGAAGGGACACCTATATGCTTGCTTTCAACTCGGCCGGGGAAGGGTGCAGGAAGAGGAGCAAATGCGAGTGCGTACGCTGCTGCGGCAACTGCTTCAACGAGAACGCCCCCACGTTCGACTGCAAGCACGCGGCTGGGGCAAGGGCCCGGGCTGGCGCCGAGAATCGGAAGTGCTGAGATGCCGCAGGGCCAGGGGGCGACTGGCCCGAACCCCGTGCGCAACTGGCAAGGACCGCGACAGCCCAGGCGGATTACAGAGAGGCCGGGTCAACCTCGACATGTTTTTCTGGAAAGTTCTGGGTTATGCACCTGTTCCCGGGCAGGAGGGGAGGAGCTGTTGATCAGAGTATCTTATCTCCGCGACTCTGGCAGGAGGGCTGGCTTGCCGGTGGCGGTCAAGGAGATCGACCTGCTTCGCGGCGGTGGCGTCTGGCGAGGTCTCCAGCGTTGTCGCCGAAAGCGCAGGATCCTCCCGGAGATACGCAACGGTGCGTACGACTTCTTGGCGGCGTCGCCGCCGCGCAACGCGTTTGCCAGAGCCCGATGGGCGAAACGGGCGGGTCCTCGACCAGTGCGTTCTGCACTCTACCCCAGGGGTTTCCCTTGGCTGCGGAACAGGTCGAAAGCGGCAGCGCTACAAGCAAGCCTGATCGTCGACTTTCACGGCGCTCGCAACGTTCGCATGCGTCCGCCCCACCCAGTACAGCGTTTCGTGGCCCCACAGAGAGCTCCACCGAAGGCCCCAATGGCAACGTTCGCATGCGTCCGTCCCATCCAGTACAGCGATTGGTGGCCCCATAGGGAGCTCCTGCGACGGCCCGATTGGCGACGTTCGCATGCGTCAGCCCCGCCAAGTACAGAGTTTCGTGGCCCTACAAGGAGCTCCTCCGAAGGCCCCAGTGGCGATGTTCTCATGCTTCCGCCCCACCTAGTACAGAGCGTTTCGTTGTCTCATACGAACTTCCACCGAAGGCCCCAGTGGTGACGTCCGCATACGTCCGCCCCACCCAGTACAGCGTTTCTTCGTGGGCCCATAGTGAGCTCCACCGAAGGACCAAATAGCGAAGCTCGCATGCGTCCGCCCCACCCAGTACACCGCTTCGTGGCCCCACAGGGGTTCCAGCGAAGGCCCCAATGGCGACGCTCGCACGTGTCTGCCCCACCCAGAACAGCGCCTCGTCGCCCCATAGGGAGGAGCTCCACCGAAGGCCCCGATTGGCGACGCTCGCACGTGTCCGCCCTGCCCATTCCGGCACACTCCTCACGTGCTTCGTGGCGCCGACGTTCCCATGCGTCCCCCCCGCCCATTTCGGCACATACACACACCTCGCGCTTTTCGCAGGTCCCTACGGAGCTCCACCGAAGGCCCCAGTGGCGACGTTCGCATGCGTCCCCCCCGCCCATTCCGGCACACCCCTCACACGTTTCGTGGCCCCATGGGAAGCCCCACCGAAGGCCCCAATGGCGACGTTCGCATGGCGGCCCCGCTTCATTTCGACACTCGCCTAACACCGTTCGTAGCCCCATAAAGGGTGGGAGGTATACCTGAGGCCCTGGTAGCAGCGCCCGCATGACGGCCCCGCCCCATTCCGGCACGCCTTTTACACGCCTCTGGCCCCATGACCCATGAGGAGATCCACCGAAAGCGATGGCCACAACGGCGATACTCACAACTTCATATGATTGGGACCTTAGCCTGAATAATTTTGTGTTCTCTCCGTCTCTCCCTCTCTCCGCCATTTTTTTGTTGTTTATTTTGTCTCTCTCCCTCTCTCTTTCTCTCCTCTTCTTGGTCCTCCTTGCCCCGTTCCACATCCCCCTCCCTCTTCTCCCCCTCCCTTTTCCTCGCCCTCGACGCCGTTGCCGCCGCGGTTCCAGTAGTGTTTTCCTCACAGGAGTGCTCTCACCTCCCCGAATCCCCATCCGCTCAAGATTGACCCAGATGCTTCCATATTCGCCTTGTGATTCCCAAACAATTCCGCCGATGGCCCGAAGACGGCTTACCAAAGGCCCGACACAGCCCACGAGGCCTCAGTGGGCGCCCTGGGGTTATGCAGGACCGTTCGGCCGATTGCGTGTTACTGCCGCAGGCTCTGCCGCTAATTCATCTCGTGCTACCGCAACAGGCTCCGCCGACGCTTCGTGTAGAACTTGAGTGCGCGCGAAGCACGCGTGATGGTTCTAATATAGACATACAGAGAGAGAGAGGGATAGAGAGAGAGAGAGAGAGCGAGAGACATACATAAAGACATGACACAATAAAGAGAGAGAGAGAGAGAAAACGATAGAGAACGATATATAAATAAAGAAAGAGATATAGCGATAGGAAATAAGGACAACTAAGCACCTAATACATATATATATACATATATATAGATATATGTATGTATAGATAGAGATGGAGAGAGGGAGAGAGAGAGCGAGAGAGCGAGAGAGCGAGAGAGCGAGAGAGCGAGAGAGAGAGAGAGAGAGAGAGCGCGAGGAAGCGACGCGGGCAGACGCGCGGGCAGACGCGCGGGCGGGCCGGCGAGGGACGGCGGCGGGCGCTGCCTGCCGCCCTGCCCCCCTCCCTGCCTGGGGGCGGGCCCTGCGGACGCCTCGGCCCTCGGCTCCGCGAGCGCGGCCAGCCGCGGCCGCGCCAGGGGGGGGGGCCAGAGCGCGCGGCGAGGCGGCCGGGGGCGGAGCGGCGGAGGGGCGGAGGGGGGAGGCAGGTCGGGCGGGGCCAGGACGAGGGAAAATCCTCCTCCTCCTCCTCCTCCTCCTCCTCCTCCTCCTCATTCCTCCTCCTCCTCCTCCTCCTCCTCCTCCTCCTCCGCACCCCCCATCTTCTCCACCGGAACGCTCTCAGAGCGTTCCGGAGCGCTCGGAGAAGACTGCGGCGCCCGAGACGGCCTCCAGAGCCGCCGGGTCTCAGAGGTTCTCGAATTTATCCCCGCCCATTTTTATCCTCGTCCTGGCTCCGTCGTCCTGCCGGAAGGAAATCTGGCATGCCGGGGCTCGTGCGCCCTTTTCGGCCCAACGCCGAGGCGAAGCGGAGGAGAAGGATTATCGGAGGCGACGATAGGGGCGAATAGCCCAGGGGGGAGCAATACATGTATCCAGGGGCGCCGATGGTACATGCCTTCGGTGAGGCTCCTGGGCGAACACGTGTAACGCCCGCCCCTCGGCTATTCGCCCCTATCGTCGCCCCCGAGATGACGCCGAGGCCAACGCTTTTCCGTACCCGATTTTATCCTCGTCCTGGCTTCCTCTCTCGCGCGGGAAGGGGGGGCAGAGGAGAAGACCGCCTGCTGCTTCTCGCACTCGGCCTTCTTGGCACCCGTCGGGCCAGCGCCGTCTCCCAGGGCTCTCGCGCTGGGCGGGGAGAGGCAGAGGGAGGAGGAGGAATGAGGAGGAGGAGGAGGAGGAGGAGGAGGAGGAGGAGGAGGAGGAGGAGGAGGAGGAGGAGGAGGAGGAGGCGGAGGAATGAGGAGGAGGAGAAGGAATAGGAGGAGGCGGAGGAATGAGGAGGAGGAGAAGGAATAGGAGGAGGCGGAGGAGGAGGAGGAGGAGGAGGAGGAAGAGGAGGAGGAGGAGGAGGAGGAGGAGGAGGAGGAGGAGGAGGAGGAGGAGGAGGAGTATGGGGAGGAGGAGGAGGAGGAGGAGGAGGAGGAGGAGGAGGAGGAGGAATAGGAGTAGGAGGAGGCGGAGGAGGAGGAGGAGGAGGAGGAGGAGGAGGAGGAGGAGGGGCACAAAGAGGCGGGGCCTGGTCCTCGCGCCCCCTCCGCCTCCACCCCACCCCCGTCGCGCCGGCGGCAGCAGCCCGCAGAAGTCGCGCCAGGCTCCTCGTGCAAGAGCCTGGGCGTGGGACGCACACCCCTACCCTCCCCTACCCTGACACGCCGATAGGCGATAGGCGAACTGGCCGTTCTCGGTTCGCGAGGGGGCGTCGCGGCCGTCATTGTTGCGGGTCCAGGTCCGTCGGTTTCGGTCCCAGGTCGTTTCACTAAAGGGTGGTTGTGCACCGCAGATAAAAGAACGCGTCCACCTTCTTGGAGTCCTCACGCCGTCTGAGGACATCAAGAGTCTGGACTCGGCCCCGGGCGTTTCCTCGGAGCTCCCTTTATGTTGCTCGCAGAGCTTCCGTACATCCGGACCTGGACTATTGTTTAAGAAAGCGCATCGAATGAAGTCCAATGTCTTAGCATCATGTTTTCCGAAGTCTTACGGCCCGCGCGGCCCCACCCGAGGCTGAGAACATTGTGCCGCGCGTGCCGTGCGGAGGATCACGCAGGCATCTCTGATTCCCAGAGCCTGACGAACAACACATCATGTTGGTGTCTCACCTTTACTTCGCGCCGTCTTCACCGAGCGCGTTCCGCTAGTCGCAAATGGACTACCGGCGAAGGTCCGAAACACATGCCTGCCCCGACGCAATGAATTGTAATTTCCCTCGGCGGATCCAGGCCATTGGCGAGTAGTCACTTTCTAAGTCGTAGAGCGCTCTTCTCTACTTCTGCTGCTTCTGCCGGCGGACCCGCTGCTAATTTCTCTTTGTCGCCTTCGTGCGAAGCCGAGGCGCTCCGAGAAGGCAAGGTCTCGCCACACGCGCACGAGGAAGCAGCACGACGACGGGAGCAGCTGGGGAAGGAGGAGCGCCCGAGCCAGCCAGCCAGGAGACATCTTCACAGACCTGAACGCCCTGCCGGAGGCCACGGCTCTCCTTCCTTGCCGGTTGCCAGTTCGCCGCCGCAGCGTCCGACGAGCGCCTCTTTCCTGAGCGCAAGGGCAAGGGCGGGGCTCTGGGTGGGGCGTCTTAGAGCGGGTCTCACCTTGATCGGAGGCTGCCAGAAGGGTTCGTTGGACAAGGTTGGTTTCGCTGGATTCGAGGTCCTCCCAGCCCGACCTTGGGCACTCCAGCACGACCTGAGGCGCCCCTTTGCAGCCGTCGAAATCACCCTTCTTGAGCCAGACCACCTCGCCACCCTCGACTTTAAGGGATCCAGCCGTTAACATCTCCCCCGTGGCGGAAGCCGGCGGGGGCAAAATGCGGGGCTTCTCCGCCGGCAGAAGCTGGCGGAGGTACAACATGGCCTTCGAGAAGTGTCTATTTTTTTGGGGGGGGGGGGGCGGGGTATGGTATTCGGAACCAGCCAGATGGAGATTAGATGAGCGTAGCTAGTCTGAAGGGGTTGGCGAAGATCGAGGAGCGAGGGTATACGTTGTGCTGGGAGGACGGTTAGTGGAGACCTTTAAGCGCGCCGTCGGCTCCCGCGGCGCGGAGGAGGGGGAAGGATGTCCAGAATGTGTATCGAAGATGCTGCCATACACTTTCCAGTCCCAAGCCCCCTCTTCATCAGGCCCTACCGGAATGTGCTCACCGTGCGAAGCGGCCCCCTGGGCGCCCCATGGGCTCGCAAATCGGGCGGGAAGCCCGTGCTGGACGGCCATGCCCGCATTCTTCAGACATCTATCAGGAGGGCGGCATCTTTGCCACGTCGCTTCGCGGCAGCGGCGATCCGCTCGCGAGCTCTGGTAGCCCAGGGCGCGTGGCGTAGTAATTCACCGGCAGCAAGAGAGGCAGTGAGGCAGAGGGCGGCCGTAGAAAGCAGGCGGGGGAGGAGGGGGCGCTCACCGCGGAAAGAGTTTCGGCAGGAGTGGTCTGAGCGGCCAGCCTGCGCCGTGGCAGTGGGCGCGGAGCGGCACCGCGACCACACCCAGGGGCTGAAGCCAAGGTTGCAGGCGTTGAAAGCGTGGAGCACGCCGAGCCAGCACGCCGAGGAGGGGAATCGACGCACAGAGGCGCAAAGAGCTGCCGATCTCCTGGGAAAAACACGATAGAACAGATGGGAAAGCAGAGGGGAAGACGAGCATCCAGGAAACGCCTAATTTATGGGGGATCATGGGATTTCTCTCTGTTCATGCGTGTGCGTGTGTCCGCGCCGGGCCCCGCCGCCGCCGGCCCGCCGACGCAGCAGCCGCCGTGGGCCTGCCGGCGGGGCCGGCCCGCCGCCGCCGCTCGGGGCGCGACCCCTCCCCCCTGTGCCGCTCGCTCCGTCCGCCCCTCCTCCTCCTCTTCCCCCTCCTCCTTCCTCCTCCTCCTCCTCCTCTCCTCCTCCTCCTCCTTCCCTCTCCTCCTCATCTTCCCTCTCTCCTCCTCCTCCTCCTCCTCCTCCTCCTTCTCCCCCTCCTCCTCCTCCTCCTCCTCTTTTGGCCGCGCCCTCCCCCCGCCCCTCCTCATTGCATGGTGGCACAAGTCGCTCTAACGGCATCCCCGTTCAGGCACGATCCGTCCCCAGCGCAGACGTCCCCTGGGGGGGGGCGGAGATGGCTGCGTTCGGTGCGAATTTCGAAGCCGACAGCGACAGTGACAACGACAGCTACCTCCCCTCCCTCCCCCCCCCCCGAGCGCGCCGTCGGCTCCCGCGGCGTGGAGCTGTGGGCCCACAGCGGCATGCTCGCCGCCGCACGGGCCCTGGAACCGGAGCTGCGCCAAGCCCTGCGGGTGCTCGTGGCGCGGGGCTGCCAGGCGAGCGGCGGGGGGGCGAGCGGCGGGGGGACGGTCGAGCGGCAGGTCGAGGATCGAGGAAGGGGAGGAGGGGGAGGAGGAGGAGGAGGAGGAGGAGGAGGAGGAGGAGGAGGACGACCAGCGTAAACGCAAGATGCATTAACGATGTTGCAAGAAGCCCTCCCGTCAACTCCTTGTTCATAGGGCCCTGCAAGGATTGAATCTCACTGCGACAAATGCCCAAATTGAAAACAACCGTTTGAGAATTCCCAGTCGTGCCAAAAAACAATTCTTGGGACGTCCGCGCCGCGAGGCAGCGTGAGTGCTGCGTCTTGAGTATCCAGAATTGTGCCAGAAAGCCGTTCCTCTGCTTCCAGCGCTGTGAATAAGCATGACTGTTGTGTATGGATAGATTTTAGAACATGCCAGAACATTCCTGGGACTTCAACCGAACGAATCCTTGAAACGGCTGGCAACTTTTAAGACGAATGTGCGCGGTTCCAAAACGAGAGCCACATTTATGTTGAAAAAAACCCGCCCTCCATCCGTTAAACTTTTACGTTTTGAACCAATGCGCGTGGCATTAATGCTAACGCTAAATGATGAAAGCCACCCACATTCCATATTTGGAAGCGTGGCGAACTTCTTCAGCGAATGTGCGCGGTGCTCAGGCGAGAACCGAACTGGAAAAGGACCCGCTGTGTGACCCCAAACCTCAAACTTAGAGACGCAATGGCAGAGCGTAGGGTAGAAACACAGCATCCGCCAAGTTTCTTCGGGCCTCTGGGCTATATAGCAGGCAAGAAACGCTACACACCCCAAGTTTCCTTGGATCTCTGTACCACTTAGATAAAGCACCAGGAACACTGCATCCGCAAAACTTTATTGTGCTTGTGGACTACGTATATACATGTGCTTCCAGCACGCCAGTGTGTCGAGCATACAGAAACAACGTTGTGTTGCAAGCGTCGTGTTGCACAGTGGCAATCTCATAATTCGGGATAACGTATTGCACTGCGGAGTGAGAGATGCTTTCGGGAGCGAGAGCTTCTTCCGCACTCGTTTTGGTTCAAGATCGCACGAGCCCGCTGGCAGGACAAAACATGCCAACTCTGTCATGCTCGACTGACATTGCTTATCCCATTCTCCGCATCCCATGACGGACCAGTCCTTTATCCCACTGCACGGTTGTACGCTTCCAGAGCAGACTGCGAGGGTTATGAGCCCAAGCGGGGAGACAGACTTACAACTTGCTCTACCACAGGGAGGTCGACCACAAGAACTACCAAAACACTAGCTACAATCTTGGGGATGACCACATCATGTATTAAAAAGTCCTGATCGGCCCTACAAGGCCCCTAGCGTCCTTGCTCACCGATTGTATCTGGAGCATTGGCCCTCGATGGATCTTCGGTTCCCGATTTCGGACATAGCCTCCAAGACGAACCCACGACAACGCCGCGCGCCGAACAACGGCACAGCACCGCAAATCATCGATCACCAGCACCAAGAAGGTCTGTTTAGAATCGCGCGCGTCGAGACACATAAACGCGCTTTGCTGAATCTTCCAGAAGAATGACGCTACTTCCAGGCATCATAAGTCGGGCCGGATTTTTTTTGGTGAGGAAATCCCCAGCGAAATCGCGCATTTCCGATCGCTTCTGAAACTTGCAGGCCCTCTGGAACTCGATCGGACATTTTTTCGAGGGAAGTCTTGGGCGGAATGCGAATTTCCGATCGTCGCTCCATTTGGCGTCTATAGTATTCAAGGGGGTGAGACATGAATCGGAAATCCGCCATGGCGGTCTCGGCAACATTGTACTGGGGCCCCGCGGCCTAACGGAACACGCTTGACGCAAAGTTTCCGCGACCTCTGCGGTCTGGACTTTTTATTCGGGGGGTTGTACGTGCCCAGGAAACTTACTTGCGAGATCTGCAGAGCCAGTGTGGCTGAGGTCTGGGTATGCTCGGGCTGCTACCTTGTTGGACACGCATAGGGCCTCGACGCCGTGGTCATTCAGGGCGACGCTGTCTGCAGAATGTGCAAAAAGTGGGCTCAGAGCCAACACGACCATGGCACGACAGAAGTGCAGTGGCAGCGTCGGGAGAATCGCTTGGCCAGTCAATTGACGCATTGGTGCGACGCCACGATCACGACCACCAGGGCACTCAGCACGGTCGGTTTGGCTAATGGCAGCTCGGGCGCGATGCTCGCCAGTGGCACATCTGCATTGTTCCGTGGCGTGATTGCTGGGGAGCAGGCGTCGGTCGGCGCAGCCTCTCTAGCGCTTCCGGCCCTCGGCGCGAAACGCAGTACGGGGGGGGAATTGCATACGAGTGCAGCTCCTGGGGCCTTCGGTGGAGCTCCCCATGGGGACGCGAAGCGCTGTGCGTGGTGGGGGAACCGCGTTCGAGTGCAGCCATTGGAGCCTTCGGTGGAGCTCCCTATGGGGCCACGAAGCGCTGTACTGGGTGGGGTAGAGGGGGAGGAGAGGGAAGGGAGGATGGGGGAGGAGGAAGAGAGGCGGGAGACGTGGGGCGCTGTCTTCTTTTCAAAACGATGACCCAACTGGCCCCCCCCGTTCCGCTCTACAGGGCACCTCTGGACCCAGCCCGTGCGGTGGGGCGCGCAGCAAAGATGAGCCACGCCATGGTGCCGCCAGCAGCTTGAATGATTTAGTGATGCGTGCCCCTCGGTTTGCCACGCCTGTTCTGCCAGGAAGCTGGACGGACGGATGCACATGACGCGGTTGGCCTGGGCGAGAGCCTCCAGCGCTCGGCTCCTCGATGGCCGACGCCGCCGTGCTTCTGCATGTGCGTCCAGAGAAGGCGTGACCTCCGGATGTCATCCCGCATGAGAGCGCAGCCGGGTGTAGTCTCACCTTCCTTCATCGATGAAGAATCAACAGAATAATCAGGAGGGGAAAAAACACACAGACACAATTAATCGGCGATTCCCAGAAAATATGGGAAAATATGGGAAGTGGGGGGGAAGACAGAAACCCGGAAAATATGGGATAATATGGGGGATCATTTTATTCGTGTGTATTTATTTGTGTGTCCTGGGGCCCCTTCAAATAACACATACACTTTTGGAGCCCCCCGGCGGCGCCCCTGGCGCGTTCCGCGCGCCAGCGAGGGGACCCAGCGTTGGTCTAGGAGATCTCTTGCGCGGAGCTCCCAACGCTGAGGCCTATGCCGATCGTCTTCCTTCCTGGCAGCCCGTGGCAGGGATGCAAGGGTCATGAGGAGAAGCGCGAACCACCGCCATTGAGAACCCATCGGTGCGGGGCGACCTCTGGGCGCGCTGGCATGCCTGAGCGTCGTCCTGTGCCGGGTGACGCTCGGGCGTGCCACGCCCAGAGGTCGGCCCTTCACCGATGGATTCTCGGTGGCGGTTGTCCCCCAATCAGTGTTTGCACTGACGGGTCCTAGCAGGAGTTGGAAGATTTGGCGAAAGTTTCCCGCCGATTTTGGTAGCAGGGTGGGTTCCCGGGTTCCCGGCTCCGGGTTCCCAGATTCCCGGTTATCGGTTCCGGGCCGATCTTTGTGGGCTCTGGGTTCCCAGCCTCCCGGGCGATCTCCTCGGCGAACACCACCCACTGATGGGGGCTTTTCTCTGGTGTTGTAAGCCATGTCTCCGCTGAAAGTGGTCACCACTCACCAAACCTCCCCAACCCAACCCGAAGGCTCAGATTTACCCTCGATTTCCAGTGGGGGGGGGGGCGGGGAACATTGAAAAAACACATGTGGAACCCTTACCCCCCCAACCCGAAATTCGGGTCTTCGGGTTGGGTTGGGGTGGTCTGGTAGGTAGTCAAGTGGGCACGCGTGGCCGTAGGCGCTGCTCGTGGGCCACAGCCTGGGCGCCGGCGTGGTCGCGCTGCTGATGTGGCTGCTGCGGCACGGCGCGGACGGCGAGCAGCTGCCGGCGGGGGCGCAGGCAACCCGCCACCGCGGGAGGGCCCGCGCCGCGCGCGTCGGGCGCAGGGGGCTCGCGTCGGGCCTCTGCCGCATCGCGTGCGCACGGCGTGCTCTTGTCGGGGGCGGAAAAGAGGGGGTGATGACTAGGGGGGGGTGGATATCATGGCGGGGGCCATGATATTTCCCCAGATTTCATGACGCCCCTTCTTATTTCATTACGTCCCCGGCCCCCCCGCTGGGCCGCGCACATGCCGCCGGTCATGATTTGCACCCCCCCCTCTTGGACACCCCCCTCTTTGCCGCTCCCGATCTTGCTTCTTGCGCGGTTTTCTGGCGTTTTCGTCGGTTCTCGTCGGCTTTTCCAGCCTTGGGCAGCCTTCCAGCAGCGGCGCCTCGCCGGGAGCGTTCCAGGGGTGCCCGGATCGTCCCGAGCGGCCGCTCGAAGAAGCTCGAGCTGTGGTCCGAAAGCCATTCGGATCAGGGGCAGCACTAGGGGGGGATAGCCCCCCCAAATGATGAGGAGATGCCTGTACCGCGACCCTAGACTTTGTAGCAAAAGGGAGGGGCTCACAACCCTCCCAGACGAGCGGTTTTAGACCCCCCCAGACCAGCCACGAAAGGGCGGCCTTTTGCCCAAACCCCCCAGAATCCTCCCAGACAGCTGAAATCGGACCCCCTCAACTCAGAACTCCCCCATTTTTTGCGCAATGGGGAGTGCCATTCCCACGTCGCCACGATTGGATTGGCCGGGTAAGCCTGGTCAGAACGCGCACCAGGAGATGTCCGTAGAGTAGCAGTATGAGTGTCTTGTTGCTTCCCCAGTCTGGAGCGTGGCCCCAGGCCTCCCCGATCGGGCCCGTGCGTGTGAGGTCGGGTGATCATGCCGCATCGCTGGTGCGGCGCGATCCAGAGTCTGGTCTTCTCCGTCCCGCCGTCGCCGATGCATCGGCGATGCGGTGTGGGCGGCTGGGAAGTGACCTTTGTCGCGCGACGGGGGAGGGGGAGGAGGAGGAGGAGGAGGAGGAGGAGGAGGAGGAGGAGGAGGAGGAGGAGGAGGAAGAGAGGAGGGGGAGGAGGGGGAGGAGGAGGAGGAACAGGAGGAGGGTGAGCAAGAGGAGGAGGAGGAGGGGGGAGAAGGAGGAGGAGGAGGAGGAGGAGAAGGAGGAAAACGTGGAGGAGGAGGAAAAGGAGGAGGAGAGGAGGAGGAGGAGGAGGAGGAGGAGGAGGAGGGAGGAGGGGGGGAGGAGGAGGAGGAGGGAGGAGGAGGAGGAGGAGGAGGAGGAGGAGGAGGAGGGAGGAGGAGGAGGAGGGAGGAGGAGGAGGGTGCCCCTCCGATCGGATTTGCCCTGGCCGTTCCGGAGGCCTCCGCTCTCGGCGATTCGCGCTGCCCCTGTCTCGCGCGGCCGCGTCAGCGGCGGCAGGCGCCGTGCGTGCTCTGCCACCGCGTCGTGACGCGTGCGCGCGCCGGCGCGCTCAGGTCGGCAGAGTTTCTCAAGCAGTGGCGAGGCGTCCTGGCTCGCCTATAGGCCTACCAAAGAACGGATTAAGAACCATTTGTGGTTTCAGCGAATTGTTCTTAGAACATTTCCGGTTGGGGCTGTGTTGTTTTAACTCATCGGGTTTATGTTCTAAGAACCTGGTTTTTGTTCTTAGAACATTCTTGGGTTCTAAGAACATGTCGTGGTAGGCCTATAGGAATGCCGGGACGGTCGGTCCCTGCTCAAGTTTCGCGGGCCCCCAAACGGGGTGGTGGCCATACCGTGTGGTGAGTCGGTGGAGATTCGGAGTCGCCGCACGGTTTTGGGGCTCGGGTCGTTCTCCGTGGCTGTCTCGGGCGGCCGGAGCCTCCGAGGTCCCAAGACTCCAAGGCAGGGTGGCGACGGACCTTGCGGTGAGGTCTTTGCGGACCTCGAGGCCGCCGCCGGGTCTGTCACCATACGGTTTTGGGACCCCCAGGGGTTGGTTAGGGTCTGCACGTGGATGGGGCCAGACCTTCTTCCTGCTGCTGCTGCTGCTCATCTCGTTGGAGGCCTCCAGGACGATCAGTTTGCGTTTCCATTTTCGGCCATCTGCGGGTCACTAACCCAAGCGCCCGAGAAATGTGACCGTTGGGCCCGTCGGTGACAGAAACGCCCAAGCTCAACCTCGCCCCCTCCATCGCGCAACCCATCATTGGTAGACGAACCAGGCCCTCCTGTGGCAGGAGGGCCCACGTGACGATCCCTTCCGCGACGAGCCCTTCCGCGACAGAGGGGCTCACATAACGAGCCCTTTGGTGACAGAGGGGCCCAGTCCCAAAAGCCACAGGTTACCCTACTCGGGCGTTTGGATTCGGGCCCACATTCCAAACTGATCAATGTTTGCTGCAACCTGCGCATCCCATGTGTGCATGTCTTTGTATACTGTCCCGCGCCGCATGTTTAATGGCGTTGACACTTTGGTGACATACGCGCACATTCACACTGCCAATATCACACATGTACACCTGTTCCGCAGCTAGGATTCATCGTGCTCGCGATTACCCTGCTCTGCCTTACCTCTGGCCAGTATTGCCTCTGTCATCCATGATCGTCCTGTTTACCTTTGCATGTGCATCCATGCTGATTCGCAGCGTACGATTACCAGGTTTGGGTGTACACCGGAACTGACCCTCTGTCTTGACATCGGCATCGATGTGCAAATTCGTAGGTTGCACACGTCTCAGCGGAAAGGCCTCTAAATGTTGCTGCTGCACTAGGTGGTCGGCCTCGGCTCGGCGGCCTTTTCTGTCAACACCCGTGGGTGGACGTCAAGGAGGATTCGTGACAGTCGCAAATCTGCCCTCGGCTTCTAGCTTCCTGGCGCAGGCTTCTCAAAACGTTAAGTGCTCCGCCCAGTTCAGCAGCATCTGCTTGATGCGCCCATCCGCATGCTTCTGCAACTCGTCATCCGCATCGTGAGGCGGATTCCCACGCATTGGAAGCTAATCAGCAGCCTTCAAAGTCAGAAGCAGCTGGGAGCACAGTTTTGGTACATGCATGGCAGGACTCCGCATGCCGCGCTCAGGCTCATCGTGAAGTCCTGGAGCGACAGATGCACTGTGAGCGGAACGCAGGCGCGAGAACCCGCACAGAGCTCGCACCCGTCTTGGAATTCAGCTGCCGTTTCGCCCCTCCTATAGGTACGAGGCATTTCCCTTGGTTTTGCCTTCAGGGATGCACGGTCGAGCATCTGATTAAGAAACCTCCTCGAGAAAGGTTGGGCCAGCGTTTCTTGGCCAACTTGCCGGAAAGCTTGCTCAGTTTCTTGAGCGCGTTCGCTCTTCCAGCGTTGACACAATAACTTGGCCAGGTTTGTCTTCAGAGCTTTCCTGAAAGTTGGCCCAGGTTTCTTGAGTGACGATTTTCTGGATCATCTGTTCGGCTGTGTTCACGGTAGCCTCCATGGCCTGTTCTGCACAAAACTACGCCGCATGCTCAGGACCCCTCCCCCCAGTAGACGTATGCAGCCTTGCCGCGCGAGGTCTTCGGCGTCGGCTATGCGACGCCCGCCGTGATGGATCTCAGGAGCGCGAAGGACTTGCAGGCGACCGCCCTCCGTCCGCGGAAGAGGGGAAGCGGAGGACGCTCGGGGGCCCCCAAACGGGGTGGTGACCACACCGTGCGGTGAGTCGGTGGGGGTTCGGCCGGTCACCGCACGGCTTTGGGACTCGGGTCGTTCTCCGAGGACGTCTCGGGCGACAGGGGGCCTCCGGGATCCCAAGACCGTGCGGTGGCGGACCGTGCGGTGAGGTCTCTTGGGGGATTTCGAGGTCTCCGCACGGTCTGTCACCGCACCGTTTCGGGACTCCAAAGCGGTGGGGGCGATCCGTGATCTTCTGCCGCCTCCGCGGCATTGTCACGTATGCCCCCCGCTCCGCAGGTTTGCCGCGGTGGTGTCCAAGATCTGACCCGCTGGGCTCTTTTGGTGCTCTTTCGCCGTCTGCTGATTTGGTGGATCCGACTGGATCCGATGTATCGGTATGATCCTCCGATTGTGCCGTTAGTCCATGCTCTCATCGACGTCGGCTGCGTGCCAGCGGTGTGACCTCATGCGCGGCTTCGCTGGCGTCTGGGCGCAGCTCTCGAGGTCCCTGGAGCCCTGGAGGCCCCGTGAGCCCCCAAAAGGGTAAACACAGCGAGTAGTGAATCCTCGATGCTCGAGCCTCCTTCCCCCTCCTCCCGCCTCTCCCTCCAGGGCAGGAGGAGGATGCTCGCGGCTTGCGCAGCCCGTAAGAGTACCTTGTCCCGGAAAGACAGGGAAGACAGCCTACCCACCCCACTGCCGAGACTGCACTTCGCGACCATCAGATGTGCATGGTGGAAGGCCTCCCCACCCACGACGGGAGGAGACGAGGGAAGGAGCAGAACGAGGAGGAGAGACGAGAGAGGAGGAGGAGGGAGGGGGCCTGCCTCCGCCTTGGCTCGAAGAAGAAATCATCACAGCATGAACTTGCGGAGGTCCGCGTGGATTTCTTGGATCGGCGCCGGACCCCCCTCCCTGGCGCCAGTGGGGGGCGTCCAGCGCAGATCTAAACAAATCCGTGAGGCCCGACGAAGCTTCTGGCTTTGTGGCCTCGGTGGGCCCTCGGTCCAGACGTCGACGGAAAAGCCGGTCCTCCTGTGCCGAGGCACGAGGTGGCGCCGGGTCGGCACGCACTGGCAGAGCGGCACGTGTCTCAGAGGGGAGCGGGGAAGACCCCGGGTGCGCGGAGCCGCCTGGAGGGCGGTGCTCGCTCTCCCGTTTCGCGCAGCCTGCTGCTCGTAGGGCCTTACAGTCAAGACGCTGAAACAAGGAACAGTTTAGGTTCGGAAGGGGCTCGATGTTCCTTAGGTTCCTCCAGTGCTGTTCCTCTTGCCCTCCTGGAGCACGGAGGCGCTTACAGGGCCAAGAAGGGGCTTCGTTCCTTATTTAGCGTTCCTTCTTTCAGCGGCCCGACTGTATACAGCCAGCGTGTGCTCTTGGATCAGAGTCGAGCATCTGATTCAGAGACCTCCCCCCCGAGAAGCCGGGCCAGCGCTTCTTCACCAACTTGCCGGAAGGCTGGCCCGGTTTCTCGAGTACGCTCGCCCTGCCAGCGTCCGCAACAGCAATCTGCCCAGGTCAGCCTCAAGAAGCTTCAGGAAGGCTGGCCCAGATTGCTTAAATCAGAACTTCCTTGATCCCATTGCTGGCTGTACTCGGATGGGAGCTTCGTGCGTGCTTGTCACGAGTGCATCTGTTTGTCGGTTGGCCGCCTGTCTCTGCAAAGAGCGTGATCTCCGCGCAGAGAGGTCTCGCACAGCAGTCCGTAGGCTCAGCTGCAGCGCGGGCGGCATCCTTGGCCGGTGCCACAGTTGACATGCAGTCGAGCATCTGATTAAGACACCTCCTCCCGAAAAGCTGGGCCTGCGTTTCGTAATCGACTTGCCGGAAAGCTGGCCCAGTTTCTTGAGCGCGTTCGCGCCATCCAGCGTTCATGGCAGAAGCTGGCCTGGGCTTGTTGTCGGAAACCTTCAGTGATAGTTTTCAGTGATAGTTTTCATGATTCCAGATTCCTTCAGTGATAGTTTTCATGATTCCTTCAGTCAGAAGTCATGATTCAGTTCATGTCAGAAGTTGGCCCAGATTCCTTCAGTGATAGTTTTCATGATCACATTCTCGGCTGCAGGCACGGCCACGCGTCTCTTTCGGGTGTCGGCGCCCTCGCAAGCCTCAGCTCCAGCCCGCCGTCCTCGGCCGCTTCTGCCGGCTGCGCGGGCGCAGGCCTCGCATTGCAGTGGCAGCACGTCCTTCTCTCGCCGCGCGCCTGCGGATCAACTTCGCGGATGGTGGGTTGACCTCCCCCTCCTCCCCTTGCCCCTTCCTCCCCCCTCCCCCTCTCCTCCTCCCCCTCCCCCTCCTCCTCCCCCTCCCCCTCCTCCCCCTCCTCCTCCCCCTCCTCGTCCCCCGCTCCTCCTCCCCCTCCCCCTCCTCCCCTTGCCCCTTCCTCCCCCCTCCCTCTCTCTGCGCTCCCCTCTTGTCGCGACCTGTCCCTCGACAGTTACACCATATGAATACTACTCTCCTCTCTCTCCACTGACGACGTCCGGAAGATATCCGGCCCCCCTCCGCGTATTTTTTTACGCAGGATTCCCGGGAAACGTGTTTTCGCTTTGGTTGCTGTTCCATTGTTCCCGCTGAAGTGCTGGTCTCATTTTTGCGCCGCTGGTTGTTCCAAATCGTGCTCCCGCTGTAGCGCGGGCCTTTTCGGTCTTTCCAAATCGGTTCGAAATAAAACAATGCACCCCCGAAACAACCATCGGAAGTGATTACATGTTCGGTATCGATTCGTTGATTTTTTGGGGCCGCAGAAGCTCCCCAATTTGGCGCGTCGTCGTTTTCAGGAAGTACTAAGCGGGAGCCCTGTCTCTGCTTTGAGGAGGCGATGTTGGAAGCAGAGCCAGCGGGCGCTCTCCATCAGCCCGGCCTTGTGCGGAGCTTTTCGGGGAGCCTCAGGAGCTAGACATGGAGCCACGACTCCAGACGGGCTCAGACCTCTCGAAGACGATCCACTTACCCTCCAGGGAACCTGGCGCCATGCCATGACATGCTGTGCGGTTTTGTGCTTTGCGCCGCTGTACGATGCCATGGAGGAGGGGGAGGAGGAGGAGGAGGAGGAGGAGGAGGAGGAGGAGGAGGAGGAGGAGGAGGAGGAGGAAGAGGAGGAGGAGGAGGAGGAAGGAGGAGGAGGGGAGGAGGGGGAGGAGGAGGAGGGGGAGGGGAGGAGGAGAGGAGAGGAGGAGGAGGAGGAGGAGGAGGAGGAGGAGGAGGAGAGGAGGAGGAGGAGGAGGAGGAGGAGGAGGAGGAGGAGGAGGAGGAGGAGGAGGAGGAGGAGGAGGAGGAGGAGGAGGGAGGAGGAGGAGGAGGAGGAGGAGGAGGAGGAGGAGGAGGAGGAGGAGGAGGGGGGGGGGGAGGGGGGAGGGGTGGAGGGGAGGAGGGGGAGGGGGAGGAGGAGGAGGAGGAAGAGGAGAGAGGAGAAGGAGGAGGAGGAGGAGGAGGAGGAGGAGGAGGCGGAGGAGGAGGAGGAGGAGCAGGAGGAGGAGGAGGAGGAGGAGGAGGAGGAAGAGAAAAGGAGGAGGAGGAGGAGGAGGAGAAGGAGGAGGAGGAGGAGGGAGGAGGAGGAGGAGGAGGAGGAGGAGGAGGAGGAGGAGGAGGAGGAGGAGGAGGAGGAAGGAGGAGGAGGAGGAGGAGGAGGGAGGGGACCGGGACGGGACGGGGGCGGGGGCGGGGGCGGGGGCGGGGGCGGGGGCGGGGGCGGGGGCGGGGGTGGGGGCGGGGCGGGGGCGAGGCGGGGACGGGGACGGGGACGGGGACGGGGACGGGACGGGCACGGGGACGGGGACGGGGGCGGGGGCGGGGGAGGGGAAGGGGGCAGGCTAGGTGCGCTCGCGTCATGTCTGACATCCTACCCCTCCCTCCCATCCCTTACCATGGCGTAGATCCCCTCTCTACTCGCACAGTCGGATGTTGAGCAGGGCAATGATCCCGAAAGGGTACGCGATGCATAGTAGAGCACGGCATGGCATGGCGTAGAAGAGCACCGCAAAGCGTAGTATGGCACAGCATGGCGTGGCGTGGCGTAGTGAAGAATTGCATCAGAAAGCTTTGCAACGCAAAGCATGGCATCGCACGGCGGCCCCGAACATAACATTGCATAGCATGGCGTTGAAGATCAAAGCGTAGCATGGCATAGCATGACGTGGCATTTACGCACTGGATATGACAGCTGCAGCTGAAGGCATGGCATCGCGCAGCGGAACGCAACCTAGCATCGCATTGCATGCCGTGGCATGGCACGGGAAATTACGCCAGCGCTGCAGCGGGAGCACGATTCTGAACGAGCGGAAGCACGGAAATGAGGCCAGCGCTGCAGCGGGAGCACGATCCGGAACGAGCGGAAGCACGGAAATGAGGCCAGCGCTGCAGCGGGAGCACGATTCGGAACGAGCGGAAGCTCGAAAATGAAACCCGCGCCACAGCCAGAGCATCATTTTGAAACAAATCCCAAGCGAAAACCCAACTCTGGGAAATCCTGTGTGTGAAATAATAGTACGCGGAAGGGGGCCCGCCATTTTCCGCACACCATCAGGGGACGGAGGAGAGTAGTATTCATATTATGTAATTGTAGAGGGAGGGGGAAGGGGGAGGGGAAGGGGGAGGGGGAGGGGGAGGGAGGAGGGGGAGGGGGGGGGAGGCGAGGGGAGGGGAGGGGGAGGGGAGGGGAGGGGAGGAGGGAGGGGAGGGGAGGGGAGGGGAGGGGAGGGGAGGAGGGAGGAGGAGGAGGAGGAGGGAGGAGGAGGAGGAGGAGGAGGAGGAGGAGGAGGAGGAGGAGGAGGAGGAGGAGAGAGGAGGAGAGGAGGAGGAGGAGGAAGGAGGAGGAGGAGAGGAGGAGGAGGAGGAGGAGGAGGAGGAGGAGAGGAGGAGGAGGAGGGAGGAGGAGGAGGAGGAGGAGGAGGAGGAGGAGGAGAGGAGGAGGAGGAGGAGGGAGGAGGAGGAGGAGGAGGAGGAGGAGGAGGAGGAGGAGGAGGAGGAGGAGGAGGAGGAGGAAGAGGAGGAGGAGGAGGAGGAGGAAGAGGAGGAGGAGGAGTGGGAGGGGAGGGGAGGGGGAGGAGGAGGAGGAGGAGGAGGAGGAGGAGGAGGAGGAGGAGGAGGCGGAGGAGGAGGGGAAGGCGGAGGAGGGGGACACGACCATTGCGCCTCCCAGAAGAGCCGAGGCTCGACTGGGAGGTCCGGCTCGGAAACCCAGCCAACAGCCTAAAAGGCACGGCTGGAGGGGAGGAAAAGGCCCTGCCTCCACGCCGCCGCGCCGCGGCGCCTAGTCCCCGCACACCGCGCCGCAGTACGCGAAGAAGACGTATGCGGCGGGGGGGAGGGCGACGGGCGACAACGACGACTGGCGACAGGGCAAAAAGGAAACTCACTCTTGGGAGCCACGGGCGCGATCATCTTGACGTTTCACAGCGCCAGGAACCTTCGCGCCCTCGCCCGAGCCCGAAAGCCCCGAGGCGCAGCAACCTTGGCGCTCCCCGCCGCCAGGCGTTATCTTGCGCCCCGTCTTAGGGTGCAGGCCGCAATCCGCGCGCCTGCTCATAGACTTCTGATTGGCTAAAGTGGACGGGGCCGTGCTAGGATCCCTACATGCCGCAGAAAGACTGCGGAGAGAGCCCGCAGAGCCGTGCGAGCTACACCTCCGACGCACGAGCGCTGGGCCAACCAAGAACGGGTCATGACCGAGGCTCCTGAAAGGCAAGCGAAGGTCGGAGGCAGGGTCAACGGGGCCGGAGGGGGGGACAGAAGGGGGAGGGCCACCAGGGGGCCCCACATCCTCCTGCGCCAAGGCCTCGGCCAGCCTCACAGCAACACTCACGGCTTCACTTCGCACCACTGAAAAAATGCCCATGCAGCCTGAACCACTCAGCCGTGGCAGCTGCTTGGGCGGGTGTGGGTCCGCACTCCCTGGCGGCACGATTGATGAGCAGGGCCTTGAGGGATGCTTCGTTGCGGGCAACACGGCCGCACATGTTGCACCTCCGCTCGCCTCTGTCCTCACTCCGATACATATGGTGACTGGTGATCTGGACCTTGGGAATGGCAGCAGGCAGATCACCAATGCATTCACCACTCTGAGCCATCTTCTGCGCGGCCCAGGCGATGAATCTGATAGTAGACTTGTGGTATCTAACTCTCCTGCCAAGGCCTTAGCGAACCCCTCGGAAACATCGTGGGATGCCGCACCGATTTTAGCGAAAAATTCCTCCCAGAGATTCCCAGCCCAACGGTAAACGCACAGTCTGTTGTTCAATCACATCATCGAGTGAAAGGTGAGCAGACTGCCAGCTACATTGCGGGGCTTTCTCGCGAATTCGAAGTACATCAGCCCATGTAGCAGCGTGCTTGGCAGCGCCGCTTGCAGAGTCCTTGCTCCGCTGGTTACCTTCACGCACTGTGGCTTGGAGGTTGCAAATGATACGCGACGGCGTAGGATGAACAAACCACGCTTGCCTGACAGCCCACCTCACGGCTCGCCCGGTCGTCTGAGACTGGCCAGGAAGCGCGCCGTACACGGCACGGCACGGCAGGAGCGAAGGCAGGATCTGGATCGCGGCCCATCCTGCATGCGAAACGTCAGGAATACTGGACTGTAGGCAGCTGCCGTCTACAAACACATCAGGCCCCAAAGCTCCTTGAACGCCTCCCCACTCGCCAACAACAGGATTAAGTTGGGGGGCCTGAATGTGCATGGCCCTGGGAAATGAAGGACGCCCATCGGTTAAATACGTGGTGTCGGCCTGCGGTTGCGCAGTGATGTCGAGGCTGGCCTGAAGAAGGGCCTACCTGTGATTCATAAAGGATTCAGGCACAGGATCCCCGAAAGGGTCCTGGTCTTCATCAATCACCCCTCTGCACTGGTACCAGATGTGGCCATGAGTGCCATTGTCTTGCAGGCAAATTCGACAGTGAGGCTCTACTAATTACCCCTGGGCCGCGCGAGCGGCTGGGAGGGGAATGACGTTGGCCCAGACCGCAGACGGCGCTCCAAGCTGCGTCGGGCACGCGACGCTGCGCAGCCCGTTCCTGAGTGCACGGTGCCAGATGACCTCACTGCCGTCGGGCGTGGGCATGCGGCGCAGCAGCTTGCCGTGCTGCCACCGCTCAATTCCCCTGATGAGGTGGAGCTTGGCGCCATGCGGGTACCACTGGAGCAGGCTGATGTGGGTGCCCTCGTCGTCTACGTCGGTGCGTGCGTTGACCGTGGTCCAGCCAATGCGTATGAGCGACAACCAAGTGCAGGACATGTGTCCTTTAGCACTCTGCCACGTCGGGTTGGACTGCATAATGTGTGCGAGCTGAGCCCACGCGCGCTGGAGCTTCCCCAACGAAAGCCGAGCATGCCATACCCAGGTCGCGTACCTGACCGTGGTGCCGAGCGTACAGTCAAATATGGGATCGTACCTCGCGTCTGGGTTGGCGATGAGGTAGGCGGTGGCTCCACCATGCGGCTTGCCCCCAGCAAGCACGGATGCGAAATTGTGGAAATATCGGAGGGCCGCCCCCGACACCCCCGCCACGCCAGCTCCATGGCCTGCCGCAGGTAAAGCGCCTGCCCTCCACAGCTCGGAGGTGCGACGGCCAGTGGCACACTTGAGGGCAAAGTACTTCCCCTTGCGTTGGTGGAGGGCTTTGACTCTGGCCTTCTCTTGGCAGCGTCTGACCTTCATAGCAGCAAGCTCATGGCCTAAATTGCGCATCCAAGGTCTGAACTGCAACGCCAGACGTCTGGCATTCTTGTCGAAAAGGATCTTGGAGCGCGCAGTGCCAGCGACGATGCCAGACTTCTTAGGCTGGGTGCGTAACCCCAAACCCTTGGCATCGTAAGTAAACATTCGCACCGCCTTCTCCGGCAAACGAATGTCGGCCTTGTCGTTAGTGGTGAGTTGGATGGATATGCCATCTACTAGTGCCTTTGGCGCAATGCATGGGGCCACGACGCTGAGCCGCTCCACAGCTATGAGCGCGAGGAGCCGCAGTACCCCTGTAGCATGCGAGCATCCAGCTCCAAATGCTGTCAGCCTCCTAGGCTGTCTGTCAAGGTCGATGAGCATCCAGGCCAACCTGGCAGGAAACTTCAGCTCCATCGCCTCTCGCAGCATCTGCGAGGGTATAATCATCTCGAAACACTTAGTCATGTCTAGCAGCACCGTGACTGAAACCTCGCTCAGCAAGGCCGACACCTCAGCGATTAACTTATGAGAAACGGCGCTGTCGGTCGAGGAGCGGCCTTTCCGGGTTCCTCAGAGCACGCAAGAACAGTGTTCATCCTTCCAGGCTGCAGTGAGTGGCTGTCGGATCTCACCCCAACGCTTGCGCAAAGTCTGAATGAGAGCGATGAGCCGCGTGCCACCGTCTGGTTTGGCCAGTCTAACAAGCCTGGCAAGAGCACGACTCCTCGGCCAATCCAGCAGGTGTTCACATTCATTGAACAGGCAGGCGATGCTAGCGTGGGCCTCGCTCGAGAGGTGCCAAAGGGCTCTTGGGGCTATCTTCGATGGGGCCAGCAGCAGCCCCAGTGTTAAACTTACGAATAGCTTCCTTGACTTGGTGCGGCTCGATACTAGGCAGGGCGGGCCAGCGATGGGCACTTTCGGGGGGGCGCCAGAGGGGGGCAGTCATGTGCCAGCCACAGGTTAGCCCACGGTTCTAGCTCCTGCTGCGCAAGGTCAGCAGGCTGCGCAGCTGCGCCGTACCTTATAACTTCCTGCACGGCAAGCACTTTAGTAAACGGTGGGCTTGGGAAGACCCCTGGTGGAAGCTCTGCGTGGCCCAATTGAGCCAAGCGCGGTTTTCTTCGGTTTCGGCCCCCTGGGTTCTGGCCTTGGCGGATGTGTAATTGTGCGTCAGCACTTGAGCGATGTCTTCCCGGCTGAGCACTGCAGTGCCTGAACAAAGAAGTTCTGCAACATGTGACTCCAACCGGACGAGCACCTTTTTGCTTCTCGCGATCTTGCGCATGAATTTGCTAGACCCGCAGAAGGACTGCATCAGCTTGCCATACTGATGGGGGGAGAGGTCACACACGGCATCACTAACTTGGAGCTGACAGATCTCTTTTCTCAAATACTGCCTGGCTTTAGCAATGTGCTTGGCCCAACTCAGGGCGGTGGCCCACGCCTTAGTGGTGCCGTCTCGGGGTCCGGGCGAGTTTTTTGCCACTTAGTCCAGGGGGGGCCAGAGGTGCCAAAGTGCGCCTCGGGGGCAGGCCCAACTGCGTCCCATCTGCAGGACAGCTTAAAGTGGATCCCCCTCGGAGACCAGGACACATAGATCAACCAAACCAGACTGGGTAGTCACCTTGGGGCCAGCAACCTCCAGCACGGCCTTCCAAGGAAACGCGTGTGGCCTGGCGCATCCAATGGGGGGAGGGGGGACCGCGGGGAAGGTTCTCCTCTCGTTCTGAACTCTCGCCCGAGTCTCCACAGGTCGTGTTTCAAACGGGATGGGGACGGGGAGGTGAGGAAAGGCAGAGGCAGTCTCATCCACCTGCTAGTGCCTGCCCGGCTTGGGCGCCAGGGAAATGCTGGCCATGGAAAATTCAATGAACGATCCTCGCTTGGTCTGTCTACAGGTGGGGCCGTCCGTGTTGTGCGCGAGGCCATTCACGGAGGACATCCAGTCGGACTAGGAGGAGGAGGAGGCGCAGGCGCAGGCGGATGAGGCGGCGGAGGCGGAGGTCGAGGCGGAGGAGGAGGCGGAGGAGGAGGCGGAGGAGGAGGCGGAGGCGGAGGCGGAGGCGGAGGCAGAGGAGGAGGAGGCGGAGGAGGAGGAGAAGGAGGAGGAGGAGGACGAGGAGGATGAGGAGGAGGAGGAGGAGGCGGAGGAGGAGAAGGAGGAGGAGGAGGAGGAGGAGGAGGAGGAGAGTTGGGGGAGGTGGAGGAGGAGGAGGAGGAGGAGGAGGAGAGGAGGAGGAGGAGGAGGAAAAGGAGGAAGTGGCCCCCGCCCCGAAGTGCTGCTTCACGAGCGTGGTCAACTCGGTCGACGCGCGCGCCCCAGACCGCGCCGCGCGTCGGCGCCCCCGCGCTCGGGCGTTCAGCGCTCGGAACCTTTGGGCTGCCCAGAGAGTCGTTCGCTCGCGCCCGAGCCCGCCCAGCCGCCGAATGGGTTCGGGCGCGAGCCCGCCCGTCGGTCGGTCGGTTCTGACGGGGTCGTGGCGATCAAGCCTGCTTGGCTTCCGAGCGGGCTTGGGGCGGAGCCTTGAGGAGGAGGAGGAGGAGCAGTAGGAAGAGGAGGAGGAGGAGGAGGAGGAGGAGGAGGAGGGGGAGGAGGGGGAGGAGGGGGGAGGGGGAGTAGGAGGAGGAGTAGGGGAGGAGGAGGGGAGGAGGAGGAGGAGGAGGAGGAGGAGGAGGAGAAGAGGAAGAGGAGGAGGAGGAGGAGGAGGAGGAAGTAGAGGAGGAGGAGCAGGAGGAGCAGGAGGAGGAGGAGGGGGAGGAGGAGGAGGAGGAGGAGGAGGAGGAGGAGGAGGAGTAAGAGGAGGAGCAGGAGGAGGAGGAGGAGGAGGAGGAGTAGCAGTAGGAGGAAGAGGAGGAGGAGGAGGAGCAGGATGAGGAGGAGGAAGAGGATGAGGATGAAGAGGAGGCCAGACGGGCATACACGTTTGGCCTGGGGGATCGATCTTCGGAGACTTTGCCAGGCGGTGGTTATGGATATACGTCGGCCCTGGGAAACCCAGATGTAAGCATGTGCGCTGCCCCTGGCGTCCCAGGACTTCGGTTCTCCAGGCGGTGGACATGGGTATGTTAGCCAGCGTGGGTTCCAAACAGTAGTCTAGCATACTAGGTGACGCAACACGCGTGGTGCAAATTATGTGGTGCAAGCTACGTGGTGTAAGGTATGTGGTGCAGTCTACGTGGTTCAAAATATGCGATGCGATCTATGGTGATTGGGCTTTGTAGCAATCTAAGTGGTGCAACTCGCTTGCCGAACTAGAAATTGTCAACGCCACTGCTCGCGCAATCATCCCACCCACCCACCCGCGTCTTGGTTTGCAAACCCCATGCGGAAGCGATTACGATGAGTGCTTGGTGTTGGCTGGTGCATGTCTGCGGCCGCGCTAGCCCGCGCATGCTCGCCCGCGCAGCGGCCAGCTAGTTTGGCGCGACCGACGCGAACGCGGTGGCGCTGTTCGCTCGGCACATCCCAGCGGGCACTTCAGTGCGAGTCGGCGATTTGGGCGGGCGAGGTATCATGGCAACGTCGGCAACGGTACACAGCGATGAGAGTAGCGATGCTGGTGATGATGCTGACAGCCACGACGGGGCAGCCAGTGACCGCGCCGATGCTGATCACGCCGAGGACGATGACGGCGCTTTCGTGTTGGTGATGAATCTGTTGGAAGGAGTTCGAAATGCCTGGCGGCAGACGCGCGACAGTGGCCCGCGTGGTCGTATTTGACACGGACCGTGCCACCCCAGCGCGCGCTCAAGGGCGCTCGAACAATTTTGACGTGCGCGCGCGCGAAGCCCGCTTGGTAGCATCTCTCGACGCAGTTGTGGATTTTTTTTATATATATATATATATATATAAGCATAGAATTCGCTAGAGCGCGCATTTTTTTGCTTTGGAAATCAGCGTTGCGAGACAATGTTTTTGGATGTTTATTTGGACACCTGGTTTTTAATCTTTACGAAGCCGAAGGTTTTGTATGATTTCGGCACGCGCGCGACGACGCGCGCGCGTGTGCGCTTCGTGTCGTTTTTTGCCAAGGATGATTCCAAACTGCTAATTTTCGATAAGCGAGTGCGCGCGCATGATGTTTTTGTTGCCGTGGATGTCGGGGGGGCCGACACCGGCCTGCGTGGGATGACATAAGTTCACATGTAGGATGGACGATGAGCCAGGATCACATGTAAATTGCAATGCGAAAAGGGGTGCCGATAATCTTGGGGGGGAGTAGAGTCTACATTTTTTTAATAAGGAAGAACCTATGTGTTGCGATTCGCCTTGCCGAACTTGATGTTGTCGACTCCGCTGCTCGCGCAGTCATCCCACCCACCCACCCGCAATTTGGTTCACAAAACCCATGCGGAGGCGACTTCGATGAGTGCTTGGTGTTGGCTGGTGCATCTCTGCGGCCGCGCTAGCCCGCGCATGCTCGCGCGCGCAGCGGCCAACTAGTTTGGCGCGACCAACGCGAACGCGGTGGCGCTGTTCGCTCGGCACATCCCAGCGGGCACTTCAGTGCGAGTCGGCGATTTGGGCGGTCGCGGTATCATGGCAACGCCGACAACGGTAGACACGATGATGATGGAAACGATGCTGGCGATGATGCTCACAGCGACGACGGCATGGCCAATGCGGGCGCCGATGCTGATCACGCCGAGGACGATGACGGCGTCCTCGAGGCGTCGGTGGTGGAGGTTTTGGGAAGAGTTCGACATGCGCACACGGCCGACGTGCGATGATGGCCCGCATGGTATTATTTGACACGGATCGCGCCTGCCAGCACGCACGCAAAAAGGGCTGCGAATGATGTCCGCATGCGGCGCCAGACGCCCGCTTGGCTGAATTCAATGGCAATGATGAAACACACATGGTTTTCTTCAGAATTCGCAAGAGCGCGAGCGCACGATTTCTGGAAAACCATATTGCGATAACCTGTGTTGTTGTATCTCTTCGGGACACTCGGTTTTGAGATTGCGCGACGACGCGCGCGCGTGCACTTCGTCCATTCGTTTGCAGACGATATCGTGACGGCACGCGCGCAAGGGCGTTCGAACGATTTCGACATGCTCTCGCGAAGCCCGCTTGTTATGGAAATTATACAAGGCTTTTTTTTCGGAATTCGCAAGAGCGCGCGCAAACTCTTCTTGAGCATCCGTGTTGCGAAACCCTGTGCTGCTATTTTTTTGGACAGCTGACTTTGAAATCATTGCGACACCGAGTGTTGCTGGAGGATTTTGACACGTGCGCGCGACAACGCGCGCGTGTGCACCATTCGCATGTTTGCCGACGTTTCTTGAAACTTGCTGTTTTTGAAAGAACGGCTGCGCGCGCATAGCATTTTTTGGCAGAGGATGGCGCGGGGGGTGCCGCCCAAATTTAAATGTCGCATCTACGTTTGGGCGGGATCGTATGTCAATTGCGATGCGAAAGAGGGCGGGGCGATAATCCGGGGGAGCGGGGGTGTAGCCGATCTTCTCTGTGTGAAGCTAGGTCGTTCTATCCAAATGGTGCCAGCGATGCACTGCAATATATGTGGTGTGAGCTACGTGGTGCAACCGATTTTCACAAACGGGTTGACACATCCCGTGCTCTTGCAAACATCCCACGCACCCACCCGAAATTTGGTTTGCAAAACCCATAGGGTGGCGATTGCGATGCATGCTCGGCGTTGGCTGGTGCGTCGCTGCGGCCGCGCTAGCCCAAGCACGCGCGCGCAGCGGCCGGCTGGTTTGGCGCGACCGACGCGGCCGCGGTGGCGCTGCTCGTTGGGCACATACCAGTTGGCATTTCATTGCGAGTCGGCGACTTGGGCGGGCGCGGTATCATGGCAACGTCGACAGTGGTGGACACTGCGGGCGAGTCGCCAACGAGTTCGACGACGACGACGACAACACCTACGACCGCGACGACGACGACGACGCCGAGGCTGACGACGACGACGATGACAACGCCGACGACGACGACGCCGCCGACGACGACGACGACGCCGACGACGGCGACGACGACGACGGCGACGAAGACGACGACGACGACGCCGTCGCCAACGAAGGCGACGACGACGAGGGAGGAGGGAGGACGACGCTAGTGACGACGACAGCGACGAGTGACCAGGGAAAACGACTACGACGACGACGGCGGCGACGAAATAGGAGGGACAACGACGAAACGCCGACGAAGACGACGAGGGAGGAAGGACGACCCCGGCGACAACGACGACGGAAACGACGACGACGCCAAGACGACGACGACGACGACAAAGACTGATGACGACGACGGCGACGACGACGACGACGAGGGAGGAGGGAGGACGGCGACGACGGCGACGACGACGACGACGCAAGAGCGCGCGCGCACGCTTTTGTTAGAAATTCGTGTTGCGAAACCTTGTGTTTTTGTATGTTTGTTGGACACACAATTGCGAAATACGTCCGGAACCTAAGGTGTTTGAAGGATTTTGGCATGCGCGCGCGACGTCGCGCGCGTTTGCACTGACTCCCATTTGTTGCAGAGGGTTCTCGCGACGGCACGCGCGCAAGGGCGTTCGAAAGATTTCGACATTCACCCGCGCGAAGCCCGTTCGGTAGTTTTTTTTGTTTGTGTTGATTTGCAAATCTTGAACAACCTCTGATTTTCGTAAGATTTCGCAAGAGCGCGCGCGTAAGCTTTTCTTAGACAATCAGTTTTGCGAATCCCAATATTTTTGTATGTTCGTGTTGGAAACTCGATTGTCAAATCTTTCCGAAACCGAAGGTTTTTGAAGGATTTTGGCATGCGCGCGCGGCGACGCGCGCGTGCGCACTTCGTCCCATCTGTTGCAAGGGATTCTTGAACACCCGTGATTTTTGATGAACGACTGTGCGCTCATAGTTTTTTTTGCAAAGGATGGCGGGGGGGGGGCGATACCAGTTAGGTTGGGATTGTATGAATTCAAATTTGGGATGGACGATGGGGCAGCATCATTTGTGAAATTACAATACGGAAAAGTGGCCCGTGAATTCCGGGGGGTGTGGTAGAGTCCATTTTTTAGGAAGGAGAATCTATGTGGTGCAAGCTATGCGGAGCCAGCGTGGCTATCATTTGGAAGAATGTGGTGTAAGCTATGCGGTGCAATCCGTTTGGTCCGATTTTCGGGGTGCGACTTTTGTAGTGCGATCGAACGAGTGAAAACCATGTCGTGCGATCTATGTGGTGTAAGCTACGTCGTACAATTTAATTGGGTGTAAACTACGCAGTGGAATTATGTGTTGTGAACTATGTGGTGTAAACCATGTGGTGCAACCTACGTGGCGTAATCTATGGTGTGTGAGCTAGTGGTGTAAGCCCTGGAGCGCATTCCACGTGGTTCAATCTATGTAATGTAAGCTGTGCGATGCGCGGCGACGAGGCGGCGACGGGCGGCGACGAGCGGCGACGGGGTGGCAACGGTGCGACGACAAGCGGGTCAGGGTGATGCACGAGGTCGCGACGAGGCGGCGACTAGCGGCGATAAGCGGCGACGGGGCGACGACAAGCCAGCTGAGGCGATAAACGAGCCCACTTCTTTCAAAACCAAGTGAGAACCCCAAGGTGTAGATACTGTTTTGGGGAACTTCCCGCCTCGCACTCTATGCGCCGTCCCATCCCGCCAGCTCTACTTCCTTTGGCCCGCCTTCGCTGCTGTGCCTTCCGAGTCCAGGGACACGCAAGACTTGAAGTTCGCCGGAACTCGGCTTTGCCGACCCTCTTGATGGGCCCGTCCTGCACGGTGACGGTCCAGTTTTCATGGGGTGCTTGCAGCGGGAGCGGAGCTCACGCAAAACTGTAGATTGGCCCTAGCAATTTCCCGGACGGCCCCGTCAGGAGGCTTTTTAAAAAAGCCCTGGCTCGCCTATAGCCCTACCAAACAATGTTCTAAGAACCTTTTGTGGTTTCCACGAAATGTTCTTAGAACACTTCGTGTTGATATTGCTTTGTTTTAACACATCGGGTTTACGTTCTAAGAACATTGCTTTTGTTCTTAGAACCTTTTTGGGTTCTAAGAACATGTCGTGGTAGGACTCTAGGAATGCCGGGACGGTCGGTCCCTGCTCAAGTCTTGCGTCTCCCCGACGAGTGCGCTGTCGCCTCGGCCGAGGTCGTTCCGCGGCTGACGGCGGCGTCGCTGGCCGAGCTTGCAGGCGGCATACCCTCGGCGGCGGAGCTAGGGGGGGCTGCGCAGGGCGAGCGGGGGGCCGCCGGGCCGAGGAGGGGCAAGCATGGAATACGTGTCGATTGGCGGCGATATCTCCTCCTCCTCCTCCTCCTCCTCCTCCTCCTCCTCCTCCTTCTCCTCCTCCTCCTCTCTTCCTCATCCTCCTCCTCCTCCTCCTCCTCCTCCTCCTCCTCCTCTCTCTCCTCTCTTCCTCCTCCTCCTCCTCCTCATCCTTCTCCTCCTCCTCCTCCTGCTCCTCCTCCTCCCCGAACCCTACCCTCGCCGATCAATCAACGATTCAGGCAGCTGGATGGGCGGCGGGGGTAGGGTTCGGAATTCGTCGATCACGTGGTGGAGGCCCAGCCCAACCCCCGCCTCCCATCGATTCAGGGGAATCGGTGGTGAGGCGCAGGGTTCGGATTACGCCACCTAATCGAGGAGCGAAAACGGCCTAGTTATAAACTTCCGGGAGTCCGCGCGGATTTCTTGGATCGGCGCTGGGGCCCCCTGGTGGCGCCTCTGGCGCCGCCCCTGGCGCGCTCTTCGCGCCAGGGAGGGGGGGTCCAGCGCCGATCCAACAGATCGGTGCGGACATCCAAGAGTTTATGTTTATGTTTATGCGTATGTCGTGCTTTGTTCCCCGAGGAAGGCGCGTGGATCAGCGACGGGCCCCGCTTCCGTGCAGCTAATCGGCGCACCCCGTCGCCGAATCAGGCCGCATTGGGCTCATGCTTCGAAGGTCACACTCCCCCGATCCGTGGACCTGGCGCCAGGTCCACGGATCCGTAGCCCACGTTGGCGCGCACCTCCGCAGCCGCTTTGGCTCAAGTACGAACCGCGGGCCTCGATGCTCGTGCTTGTTTGCAGCCGAGCAGGCTCGAGTGCCCCAGTCTTTCAGGCCAGAGTGGCCTAACCTCTAGCCGTGCTTGAGCTGCCAAGCCTTGCAGGGTTTTCGAGCAAGTGCTGCACCAGGTGCGGCCAGATCCGTGGGAGGAGGAGGAGATGTGCCGAGGGCCCACGACACCTTTCTGTGGGAGCCAGACGTGCGGACTCACGTCGAACTGGGTGTGCATGCTGCGGTGCCGTTGTGGCGCCACAGCCCACGTACACGTCGTGCAGAGGGCCAAGGAGTTTCAGAGCGGTGGAGGCGCCGATCGGGCTGCTGGTGGCAACGGTCGTCTTCAACGACCACCTGCTGCAGGATCCCGGCGCGAGGCCACGCTGGAAGCCCAGATGGCCGAGCTCAAACCACGGTAAGTCCATCAGCGGCGGTGCACAGAGGCCGAAACCTGGTGGAAGTGGATGCTAATTACAGGCATCCGCAGCTGGTGGAGCAAATGGACATGCAAGTGGTGAGGATGCCAACTCCCGAGAAGTGGATCGGCCAGGATAACAGGCGGGCGGACATCGAAGCCAAGAGAGCCCTCGAAACCCAATCCAGAGTCTCTAAAGACTAACGGCGGCAGCTTAAGAGTTCGACCGAGAGAATCAATAGGGTGGCGCGTCTCGTGGCGGCGACCTTGCCGCGTTTCCGGGGGCTTCTGCACTGGCGCCCGCCGAGACGTGAGCGACCGCGTGAAATAATGGCCGAAGCGACTGGCTGGCGCGAGTGGGTCCCGTGGCTGTGGGGCCCCAAGTGCGACATCTGTCTCTCTTTTTTTTACGTGGGGGCCACCCAGGACAGACCTGAAGTAGTTTGCCGTGGGCCCCCCAGACACTTCAGTACCCTGCTGGCCCTGGCCCCATGTACTGGGCACAAGCTTGCGAGTGCCCAAGTTGGCGATGAGGAGCTTCCACGGTCACTGGGCAATGCACACCGTAGTGCAAATCTGCAATGCACAGTGGAGGTGCGAATGCCCTGTCCAGACTCAGGCGGGGATGGCACCACACGCGTGATGTGCATGTTTCTTGTGCGGCGCAAGAAGCGCCAATTTCAGGCCCCGAGGTTCGTGCGTCTGCCAGAGCTTTGAGGCGGCAGCAACCGGCTGCGAAAACGAGCCCCCTGGAGCGTCCTGCTGCTGCTATCCATGTTCGGACCGCTGGGGAAGGAAACGAGCGGGGCTGACAGGTGGGGGCTTCTCGACTAGACGTAAGAGTGACCTTTCGCCGGAGTGACCTTTGGTGCGGGCACAGATGGATGGGTCCTGCAGATGGCTGAAAACGAAGCAGGAGCAGCGGTTTGTGCGCCCAGCTTTGGCCCCCCCGCGGCCCCCCAAAAGGCCGCGCACCAAAGGTCACTCTTACCCAGGGCCACTCCTGCGTGTAGCCGAGCTTCTTTTCTGTGACTGCTTCGGCCGAGGGTGGCCAACAGGAGAGCCCGGGCGTGCGCTCGGGCCGGCATAGAGAGAGAGAAGGGAGAGAGTCCGGGGCTCGGCGACTGCGAAGGGTGAGGTTACGCCGGGGTGTGGTTTGCGATCGGCGCCGTGGGGACCTGGTGGGCACGACACTGTCCTCGTCGGGCCTCCTCGGGGCACGGCGGAGAGCTCAGTCGGGGTCCCCGCCCGCCCCCCAGGGTGCCCCCCAGGGCGCCAGTTGCAAACCACACCCTTTGCAAACCACACCCTTCGGAGTCGCCGAGGGGCGGCCGAGGGAGAGCGCAGGGAGGCAGAGGCGGCAGCTGCCGGAGGAGCTGGCGGCAGAAGGGGGGCCTCGGGGAGCGGGGGCGGGGGCGCCGGGGCGGCGAGGGCGCCGGGTCGGCGCGGGGCGGCGAGGGCGTGCCGAGGGGAGCGTGGGGCACGGGCAGGCGCCAGAGCGGGGCGGGGCGCGGTGCAGTTCCCGGGGGCTCGCGCCAAGCGTGGGGGGACTTTTGGTGGGCCTGTTTTCCACCACCACCGCTATAAGTTGGAGGGGGGAAGGAGGAGGAGGAGGAGGAGGAGGAGGAGGAGGAGAGGAGGAGGAGGAGGAGGAGGAGGAGGAGGAGGAGGAGGAGGAGGAGGAGGAGGTGGAGGTGGAGGAGGACCCCCTCCCCCTCCAACTTATGGTGGTGGTGGTGGAAAACAGGCCCATCAGCTTTGTGGTGTGGGCGCTTCCGCCGGCAGGCGACATCGCGAAGTGCGCGCGGGAGTCGATGCCGGACCTGGACCAGGACGTTCAGGCTCGCTTGGGCGAGGGTCTCCAGAAGATGGGCAGCATCATGGATGGCAGGTTGATGAGGGATGAGGGGAGGTGGAGGAAAGACGGGTGTGGAGGAGAAGGATCACGAGAGGGAGGATCGTTTCGCCAGTCCACTTCTGCTTCTCTGAGCATGTCTTTTCTGTCGCTCCGCTCTTTCTCGTCTCGCCTCTGTTCTGCCTGCTTTCCGCCGCTGGTGCGTCTGTTATCGGCTTGTTGCTGCGCCCAGCCCCGCCGAGCAGAAAGAGAGGGAGGATGAGGATGATGAGCCACAGCAGCAGCAGCAGCAGCAGCAGCAGCAGCAGCAGCAGCAGCAGCAGCAGCAGCAGCAGCAGCAGAACGGAGGAGGAGAGGATGAAGAGGAGAAGATGGAGGAGAAGGGGAAGGAGGAGGGGACACGGAGGGCGGTGCAGCTGGGGCTTCCCGCGATGCGGCCAACTTGTGACGACCTCGCATCGAGCACCCGTGCGCTGAACCCTTAGCCGCCTGGGGATTTGGTGGCAAGCGGCTCACACGACGCCGCAGCGGAAACCGCACTCCATGGGTGGTGCAGCCCGTCCGCCTGCACTGCCGCCGAGGCAAGTCCAGGGCGCGCTGGCAGCACGGCGCTGACGGCGCCGCAAAGTGCGCTGCTCCTGTCGTGCCCTCCAGGGCGCGTGCCGCGCCGCCAAGCCTGGCCCGCCTCGCCTCGGCGCGACACGCTGACCGCGACCCCGGTCCCCAAGCGTCGACGTCCCGAGCACTTCCCAGCCTCCTGCCCCCCGGGGGCAGAGCGACGCGCGAGCGGCCAGCGAGGCGCAGCGTGGCGCAGGGGCCGCCGCGGCACGCGGAGCAGGGGCCCCAGGCCGCAGCGCTCCGCGCTGGGCGGCCCGGCGAGCTCCTGGGAGCGGGGCGGCGGTGCGCGCTCCGGGCTGCCGGGCGCTCCTGCGCCTGCCAGTGGAGGTCGGACTTCGTGGGGGTCGGAGCCAGCGGGGGGCAGGGGAAGGAGAGCAGGCTGCCCCAGCCAAGCACCCTGACAGCAGCATGAGGTGACGATTGTGATGACGATGGCGGCACGAGCATGCTGAGCTGGCGATGGTGATGATGCTGCTGCTGATGCTGATGCTGCTGATGCTGATGATGATGCTGATGATGATGCTGATGATGAGGATGATGATAATGACGATGCTGATGATGCTGATGATGCTGATGACGATGATGCTGATGCTGATGCTGATGCTGATGATGATGATGATGATGATGATGATGATGACGATGACGATGATGATGATGATGATGATGATGATGATGATGATGATGATGATGATGATGCTGATGATGATGGTGATGATGGTGATGATGATGATGATGATGATGATGATGATGATGATGGTGATGATGATGGTGGTGGTGGTGGTGAAGACACATGCGGTGTGTGGGCATCGAAGAAGGTTGCCACAACAAGTGGTCGCCACAGGCCGAGAAGCATCATGCTGTCACGAGTCTGCATGAAACCGTGCGCTTGCACAGTCGGGTGCCTCCCGTTTTCAGTCGTCAGAGAAGGAAGCCAAGACCCTCTGTTTCCCCTGCGAATGTCTCGAACTGATTCTTGAGTGTGTCTGTTCCTGGGGATGCCCACCATGTCGCGAGCCATGGCCCCAGCTCTTGTCTTGATGTAGCTTCTCAAGGCGCCCTGTCTCATCGCGCACGCCCGCCGCAGTGGCCGGTTCACAGGTGAGCCCACGCATCGTGCCAGCGGCTCTCGGCGTCGCCTGCGTTGCGCCCGCAGGGCGCGACCGCCCGCTCGTGCGGCCTGGTCGGAGATCCAGCGCTCGAGCTCGGCCTCCAGGCCGTCGCCGTCGCCGACGGAGATCCTGCCTCCGTGGGCCGACGCGGCGAGGGAAGCGAAGATCGCGTTCTGCTCTTCGGCGTCCACGGATGACAATGGACCGCCGCGCCCCAAACGCGAGGCCCTTCGCCTTCTTCACTGGCGGAGCATCTTGGCTGATCGCATCACGGGCTTCCTGTTGCACAACCGAACCTTCGGATTCCAAAAAACGTGCGGCATGCGTCTGGATGGCTCGGTCGAGAAGGTATTGATTCACTACATACACGGCACTACGCATATGGCTACTCGCTGACAGCGCACATGTTTTTGAACGAGGCTCACCTCGCACTACTTCACCACCATCAGCCGTTGCTTCCAAAAGTTCTTCATAACTTGGTAGGTCGTAATCAATTAACGCCGCCAGATTATTTGAGATTTCGGCTGCAAGCTGCTGGGGTGCCCATTTGACAGCAAACTGTTTGAATTCTTCACACGACCAGCCACCTTTTGAGGCGTGTTCCATGAATACTACTGGTACGAATATGACGTAAGTAACAGAATCCCGCGTTCTGGCCATACCATTCGGGAAGCAATATACTACAAGATGGTTGTGCTATATGTTCGGGTAGGACGCACGCCTCCAAGGAGGATCTTGTTCCGCGACATGTTCGGGTAGGACGACGTACGTCCTTGTGCGTCCCATTGGATCTTCCTGGGCAGCGACAACGGCCAGCACGGAGAGCCCCGACCCACAAAATAACCCTCCGCCCTGAATTTGTCAAGTGCGGTTGCAGGGAGAGGTGGAGGTCAAGTCAATTCGATGGCAGGCCACGCGATCGGTCCACGGTTGTAGCATCATGGTGGCAGTACGGATCCATGGTGCTTGCATCGTAGACCCAGTTTCGCAGGATTTTCGCGACGCGCGATGTTATTCTAATTCTGATGAGTGCATTGGTCAGAGGAGGGGCAGTGCGGAGGAGCCAGAAGATCAGGTGAAATAGAAGGAGCGTAATTGAGACGGAACAATATTCTGAAGAAGACGGGCAGGAAGGGAGGATGAGGATGGTTAGGGGGGAGGAGGAAGAAAGAGAGAGACTACGAGAGAAAGAGAGCCGCAAGCGAGACGCAGAGGGCAAGTGATCAGATGGAGGGTGCGGAAGGTCGAGGACTGAACGTCGCGCCCCCGTCCGTAGCCATCTTGGCTCAGGCTTCCTTCCTTCCCCCCCTTCCCCCCCCTCCCCCCCCCCAGACCTCCAGTGTCTTGGGTGCAACAACGCGGCCGTTCCCCCCCCCCGTCCCCCGCCGGGCTCTGCATCTGCAGGCTTCTGCGCAGGCCGCTTCCATAGAAGGCCGCCATGGCCGTCGGCCCCGCGCGAGTGAGCTGAAGTCGACAACTCTGTGCGCCTCCATGCCGCGCTCTTATTGATAGCATTGCTGGCAGCATAAATCACATCCGTACTATCATCATTATGCGTGTATATATATATTCATAATTTGTAGCATCATTGATATTACGAGCTTGCAAGGAGTCCCATCTTTGCAGTTAGCATCCGCACCATTCCTATTTCCAGTATCATCACCATTTGTGTTATCATCTTCTTACCAGCACCATTATTCGTACTACTGCCTCCCCGAGCTTCGCGACGCCCGCTTTGGGGCCCCGCCGCTGGCAGCCCACGGCGCGAGAAAGCCACGGGCGGGGCTGAGAGCGGCGGCCAGGACCCTCTTCGGTCGGGATCCTTCCCGCGAAACCCAGCATCACATTTATACAGATATGTATATAGGTGTATGTTTCTAGATTTATGTATGTATATACATGTAAATACAAGTATGCATCCACTTAAATACCAGTGTTAGCCAGCGTGGACCCCACACAGCGCGTTCTAGCATCACAGGTGATGCAAGCTCTGTGGTGCAAGCGATGCGGTGCAGGCTACGTGGCGGAAGCTGCGTGGTGCTATCGACGCGGTGCAAGCTATGTGGTGTAAGCTATGTGGTGCGTGCTAGGTGGTGCAATTGTGTGGTCTGAGCTATGCGGTGTAAGGTACGCGGTACAATCAAGGTGGCAGGTTGGAACTAACGTATGCATCCATGTGGCGTGAGCTATATGGTATAAGCTACGGGGTGCCGTCGATGCGCGATCTCTGGGGTGTTAGTTAGGTGGTGCAACCTTTCTGGTGCAATACATGTGCTGCGACCGATGTGGTGTTAGCTATGTGATGCAGTCCCAAGTGTTCCAACCAATGCAATGCGAACCATGTGGTTCGAGCTATACGGGTGCAGTCTATGCAGTACAGTCGATGTGGTATGAGTTATGTGGTGTAGGCTATCCAAGCAATGCCAAGCATTGCACATCAATGCGAAGCAATGCCAAGCAGTGATAATGATCGCAATGCAGTTCAAAGCAGTGCAAAGCAATGCAGCGCGACGCAATGTACAGCAATGTAACGCAATGCTGGTCAATGCAATACAGTGCAAAAAGATGTAAGGCAGTGCAGAGCAACGCACAGTCGGCAAGGCAAATCAATGTAATGCACTGCTCGGCCACGCAAACTAATGCAACGTAACGCTAGCCAATGCAATGCAATGCGAGAACTGCCAGGCAACGCAACGCGATACAACGCAACGCAAGGCAATGCAAACCAACGAACAGCAAAGCAATGCAAAGCAGTGCAAATCAATACCAAGTAACGCAACGTAATTCACCGCCATGCAGAACAATGCAAGGCATGGCACAGAAAGGCAAAGCAATTCAGATCAATGCACATCAGTGCAATGCAATGCGAGTGCGAAACAGTGCAATTGCAATGTAACGACACAAAGCAGTGCAGAGAAATACAAAGCACTGAAAAACAATGCAGACCAATACGAAGCCACGCAAAACAATGCCAAGCAGTGCAACGACACGTGAAGCAATGCAAAGCGGTGCTGAGCAATGAAAAGCAATGCGAAGCAATGCGACGCAATGCAATGCGAGCGGCGACGAGTCGGCGGGCGGCGACGAGGCGGCGACGGCGGCCACAAGGCGGCCAGAGCGGCCCAGGCGACTGGCGGCGAGGAGGAGGCGGCGGCGGCTATGCACATAGCCGCCAGAGCGGCCCGCAGGCCCAGGCGACGGGCGGCGACGAGGCGGCGACGGCGGCCACATGGCGGACAGAGCGGCTCGCAGGCCCAGT